CTTTTAGCAAAATTCATCAACTTTTTAGAATAGAAATGTTTCAAGAGGTTATCTTTCATTGTAGAATCCAAAGAGAATAGTTTCTGAATTAGCTTAACGTGGGAACAACAATGACGAGAAGTATGATACGAATATTTAAATCTAGAATTTTTGTAACTTCGATTCTCTATCTTTTAGATTCATGAAGTTTTAAGTTTTTTCTTTTCAATCAATTGGTTGAAATAAAGTTGTATGCCCGCCTTCTGAATTTATACTTCGTTTTAGGTTGAATCTACCAAAATTACAATACATACAAAATTTTCATAAATAAGTCATAACTCACAAGTGATAATAAGATTGAAGTAATGGTCTTTTTTTGTTCTAATTATTTTGAATCACATTGTCCAAAGTGTAAATTATTGGTTGAAGAATAAATTTATATAGGCTCCGTTTGATTTGTCTTATTTTCCATGGAAAATTTAACTTTTGTAGTGTTTGATAGGTAAAATTTTTCCGGAAATTTTTTTTCCACCTTTTTGAGGAAAATAAATTCTTGATGTTTTGGTGGGAAAAAAATTTCCAGTTTTTTTTTGGCAATTGAAACAAAGTCTAGATAAAATGGTAAAAAAATTTATCACTTTTATTGACAATTTTCATGTAAAACAAAGTCAAACGAATGATATTCAGTATGATAAATTTTTTTTTTCAATTTTTTTTTATTTTTTGGCAATTGGAACAAATTCTAGACCCAGTAGTAGAAAAAATTATCACTTTAATGGACAATTTCCATAAAAACGAAGCCAAACGGGCACCAAACTTTCAATATTTTTCATGAAAAATTATACCAATCAAATACAATTCTCAGTAAAATAATTTCTAGGTAAATCAATTCCCGTAAAACATTTTCTTTTCACCAATTTTTCACATTTACAATCAAACAAACCCTTATTTAAATTTATTTCCCACTTGACAAGGAACTCAATCGTGTAAGATTAATGCTAAAAGAGCTAATAATAGTAGCCTTTACCCATGAATATTTCACCACCATTGAAACATTGCACAATCTCCATTCCAAACCCCTTGACACGAACAATATTATCATCTCTCCCTCTCTCTCCCTCCCTCCCTCCCTCCCTCCCTCCTTTTTTACTTTTAACAATGTATACCCGAAATTGACACGGATAGGTAAAAACAACGAGTGCGACGGCATCATGTTTTGTATCGGATCAAACCCATCAACGCATTTCATATTTTTTCTTTCTTTTTTCGTACTCGCCACCCTATTTTCGTCGTCTTATGGAGATTCTCATCTCAACGGCCTCCACCGTTCACATCTCCCAGGTACGTACATACGAAAAAATATCACAAACCATTTGTTATATGCATGCATGGACAAATTAATTGTAATAATTTATGTTAATGTGTTGTTTTTGATGCTAGAATATGATGAGGTTGTCGAATGGAATACGAGGAGGATTGTCGTTGAAACCTCTACCAATTCTACAGATATGATATTGGCAGCAAAGAGAACATATAGAAAGGACCCTTCTAACAACATGGAATACTACACAGGGGGTTGGAATATAACCAATTCCCATTACCTTTATGTAAGTAATTATCAAAATCACATCAATTTCTTCATGGCATGTTTGCCTTTTTATCTCGTCGTACATTGTAACAATACCACTTCGGGTAGAACTTACCCTTAAAACCAGCTTGTGATGGGAGGGTGCCTAAAATGCTTATGAACCCACAAGGCAAACATTCTGCTTTCTTCTATACCAGAGCTTTATTCCCGGGTGGCATATAAGTCTCTCGTGAACGATCCCTCTTTGAAATCGATGTCCGCTGCGGCCCTTTTTCCCTGCTGAGTGATTACGTAGAACCAGTCTTTTAGTGAAAGTATCCCTTCAAAGGTCACCCCATCCACAATGAGGGTACCCCAAGAAGGGGTGTTTGTACTGATAAGAATTGTAACAACCACACTGGATAGAAATAACCCATAAAACGGACTTGCAAGGGCGTATGGTGCATCGAGTGTTTATAAACCCATGAGGCAAACCTTTGGCTAGCGAAGTTTGATTCAGTATGATGGTTTGAATAATTTCTCGGATTAAAAATATGACTAGTGAATTTTCTCAATAATGTTGTTTATTAGTGTCTGTTTTTGTTGCAGTCAATAGCTTATTCAGCTGTTGGGCCGATTCTCGTTGCTGTTATCTGGCTTGTTTTCTTCGGAGTGTTCATGTTGTGTCTCTGTTTTCGCCATTGCTGTTGCAGGCGTAAGCCTTATGGCTATTCTCGTGCAGCCTATGCCGTCTCTCTTATTCTCCTCCTCCTCTTCACCACCGCGACAATGTATTAACTTAAAGTCTTAAACCATTCTTTGCTGCATATGTGTAAGCTTGTTAGATCATTAATCAGTTTATATACGTCTAATTCATATCTCTATTTACAGAACCGGAATAGGTTTTTTGTATGCGGGGCAAGCCAAATTCCAGAATAGTATAGTGAACATACTGAGCTACATTCTGCATCAGGCCGACAGAGTGGTTGTAAATCTACAGAACTTACTCGGTAATCTGGAGGCGGCGAAGGGTGTTGGTGTGGGGCAGATTTCATTACCAGATGAAATCAAAGGTGAAATTGATACCATGGGGATAACGATCAATCGGCTTGCTGATACTTTTCACAATGTTACAGGAACGAACTCACATGACATACGCAATTTTCTCGACCCCTTGTAATAACCTACATATACTTAACTACGTAATCAAAATCGACCTAAAGTTCGGACGTACATACTTATTCTGCAACTTTTTCGATCCCTTGGCAGGAGGCTCACTGTTATATATGTTGCTGCAGCAGTTCTTGTTTTGGCATTTCTGGGATTCTGTAAGTTTTTGTTTGTTGTAAACTTCAGCATAAACCATTTTTTCTCTTACAAATTATTGGTCATATATATAGTTGAGTTAAGCGTAAAGGGATTAATTGATTCGTCACAATTGTTGATCGTGCAGTGTTCTCCATTCTTGGAAAGAAGTGGGTTGTCTACTGGTATGTATGCAGCATAACATTGTTGTTTTTGCTAGCAGTCGCACATACATACACAAATATTTTCTAGTATAATGTAATATTCTTGATTACCTGCAGCTTAGTGATCGCAGGATGGATGCTGGTGGCTGGAACATTCGTAATTAGTGGCATGTTTCTCATTGTTCATAAGTAAGTCCATCAACATTTAGGTCTGTTTCCCTTTCTCACCCCTAGAAAGGAACTAAGGACCTGTTTGGTATAACTTCAGCTTCTGGTAAAAGAACTTCATGAGGAAGTCACCTTGGGCTGCTTCCTCTAAGAGCTCTTTTAATCAGACAAAGCATTTCCAGAGATCCATAAGCAGCTTTTAACTTTTCAAAAGTCATGTCAAACGGGTCCTAAACCAATCTTGATATCCTCTAGGCCAAATAGAAGTCAACTAGTCCTCTCCTGCTTTGCTAGTCTTAATATTTTACTTTCTTACGTGCACTAGTCTTAGGGATGTATGTTTACAACTGGGGCACAGGGTCGTTAGAAGGTTTACGAGGAAGGGAAATTTCATTTAAATTCGGGCTTGAGGTGATTTTGGTTGTTTTTATTTGGCAGTGTGGTTGCAGATACATGTGTATCGATGGATGAGTGGCATCAAAACCCGAATGCACGTTCTGCGTTGGAGGAGATCATTCCTAGAGTAGATAACGCTACTGCTCAAGACATTTCCAAAGTTACCAAAGGAGTCACCTTCTCACTCCTCGGTGTCGTTAACTACGCCATATCGAATGTCTCCAATGCCAACAACCTTCCACCTGAGGCCAAACCTTTATATTTTAACCAATCAGGAATGGTGATGCCTACTTACTGCAATCCGTATAATCCTGATTTTACAGATCGGAAATGTGAACCTGGCGAAGTAGACTTCACCAATGCATCGCAGGTATGGAAGAAGTATATTTGTGAGGTTTCCTCATCCGATATATGTATCACGACTGGACGACTGACCCCTGACCGTTATAGACAACTGACAAGCTCAGTAAATGTAAGCTATGGTTTGTATACAGGGATGCCATTTGTTGTGGAGTTGATAGACTCCACTTTTCTTACAGAGACATTTACAGATATTAGTGAGAACAATTGTCCCGGTTTGAGGAAATTTACGAAATGGGTGTATGTTGGTTTCATTACTTCCTCTACTGCTCTAATGTTTTCCTTGATCTTTTGGGTAGTATATGTCCGTGAAAGAAGGCATCGTGCCTACACCAAGAGAGTCGACCGCCTGCCTGAAGAGGAGGTATCCTATATACAAGGATGATCAGTCTGTCGTTTCCTTGGATCACGCAATTTTCTGTTGTAATCTAAAAATGTTATCGTGATCCTCTACTCTGTAACTTTTCTATGTATGATTAAACAAAGGCCATCCATTAATCCCTAAGGTAGCTAAAGAAGATTTATGTATTTTTTTGTAGTGATCTTTAAAAATGTGATCAAGTCACCCTCTAGAAACAGATATCCATTCTTTTTTACACGTGATCTTCATAAAAATGTGTGAGCTGAATCTTATTTGATCAACCACCAAAATGGGGTGAAAAAGAAAATACACGGAACCACCTAAAGTGCTATTTTCTCCCACCTACTTGCAAGCGGGGAGAGCTACATACGGCATATGAACAAATACAATAGAGAAAGAAGCTACTCTTACAGGTTCAGAAGAAGTTACTGTAATAGGTTTCAAAGGAGGTATAGCCCCGGATGAATCTGTGGTTAATGCCTTCCCATTCAGCAGCATAGTCTGGCTCTGTATGTCTCCATCCATAGCAGTCAGGTGGTATTCCTCTCTTGTGCCACGAGCTTCATTTGCCTGATGCATCTTAATCACTTGTCTATGATGTCTATGTTTATGCCGGTCCACCAGAGTTCCATTGAAGTCGATTTTTGCCTCTACAGTATTGTTTCCATCTAGATTTATCAACAATAAAGTGATACCTTGCTGCGAGATAAAAGTCCCGAATAGGTCACCTCGAATATTTCTTTCACATTTATATAAAGACAGACAATTTTTTATTTAATGAATGGGTTCGATTAACTTACAGATTGCTTTGCGCAATGAGCATAAGCACGGATCTTCTTTGTCCCAGAAAAAAATGTCGACAGAACAGACCTCCCCATTAATCGGTGCCAAAGAATAGCACTACAATAAGAAAAGTAGTCTTATGTGCTGTACAAAGAGAGAATCAAGGTAAAATGAAAATATAACTAATAAACAATTGAATTTCAATGAACCTGTAGTAATCTGGATTTGGAACAAAAGTCGCGGTACTAAGTAAACCATAGTTGCCACCAATTAAAGTTTGTCTGCAATATGTTTTTGTATCAAAAGCTGATTACATCCCGAGTTGATCCAGATACCTGTAATTTAGTGCCACAAGAGAATATCCTTGAGGTATAAGAACTGAAAACTCGGAAAAGTTGCGCGGTGAACATAGCATTGGGATTACCAGAAACTGAACACAAATGCATTTGTAACATGATTGCGGCCACTGTTGTAAGCCCCTCCCGACTCACCAACCCATGCAACTGCTGAAGTTTCAGAACTCCTGAGGATGTTCTTGAGCCCCCTAAATACATCAGCCTCACCATCAAGATAAGATGGATCAAGAATCTTTTCGATCAGGTGCTCATCGACTCCTACAAATAATGAAAGAAAATTTATATTCTTGTATAATCAATCACCTGGTGACTAAAATCAGATCATCCTAGTTTGCTAGTTGAAATACCTGCACCAAGATTATATACGTGATGAGTGATCACATTTACTGATCCCACTGTTTTACCTATGTATCGTTTGAACCAGTTCGGTTCATAGAATCCTCCTGGTGCTATGATTCTCGGTTTGACATCAACTCCTTTGTAAATGTCTTGTATTAGGTCGTGCAATACAATCGTGTCCGATGCATATTGATCTGCTGCAACATGTACCCCGACTCCATTTGCACTCAACTCATTCCCTGGAAAGAAAATGGTGATCAACAGTTTTTTTTAGCATCTGACGATTATGCTACTTCGCAGTGACTTAAACGGTCAAATTGAAATGTTTTTCGTTGTTTTCATACAATTTTCCATACATGGTGACATGCGCGAAAGAAGCAGTCTGCATTGACATTAGAACAGAAGAATTCTTACCAAGTTCCCAACCATAAATGTTATAGCCCTTTTTGACAGTGTAACGAATAAGAGAAGCAGCATTGGTGGAACTCCAAGCTCCCACAGTAGAATTATCCGACCGTATGGATCTTCCATTGAGTGCATTTAGTCCAAAAACAACTAAAGCCCTGAATTGAATTCACACAAGAAAATTAAGTTCCAATGTCTGCATCATCTATTTGCATGTCCAAATTTAGAAAAAGATAGGCTTTTACCCAGATTTGTTGAAGAAGGAATTCAGTTCATCCCATCTGGACAAGGGAAGGCATCCCTCGGTGAAATTAAACAACTCAGATATGTTTTGAGCAAATGGAATACAGGGTTGCAAGTGATCTTCAGTTTGATAGATGACTTTATCTTGCAAAGTGCCACCCAATCTGATCTTTAGCGGTGAAAAGGCTACACGGTTATTGAAAAATAAATAAACTTATGCAGGCCTCATTTGAATTGAACAGTGCATAAAGTTGAAACTGCTACTTTTTATGTAGAATTGTGTGATACAATCCTTACCTTTTATTGCATTTAGGAAAATAATATTGTTAAGATCCTGGACATAAGAAAGATCAAACAAATTTCATGAAGTATCTATTTTATTAAATTGATGTTAACGAATCTAACATTCCAAAAAGGAATCATCAACATGAAAGGACAAGTATTTAGTATGTTAGAGAAATCCCCCAAGTCATGGAATTTAAATCCGTTGTACGGGCGAAAACGACCATGAGCATTAGAATGAATTAGTAAACACCAAGAACGAAAACAGAGTATCTCCTAAGAACTAAACCGAAATCCTGAATACATTCACGACTTATATACGTCAAGAAAATCAGTATAAATCTATCAAAAACAAGATTTAAACGATATACACTTGACCTTGTCTAACTTTTAGATCAAGTTGTTCAACATAGTATGCAAAGGTCAGGGTTTTTCTCTCTCCATCACCCACTCAATGAAATTGTGCACGTGCAAGGCTCTGATGTGAAGGGGAGTGTTGCCATCTCTAAGCCAACATTTCCACACCATTCATACTTGCAGGCATAAAACATAGAAGAAGAAAGCAAATGTATGAGAGAAATATACCAAATTAAGCATAGAAGAATGGTCCCAGCTACAAGTTCCATAATCACACTTCTCAGGCGGCCACCAGTCTATTGTGGCACATATAAAATCACTGTCTGTCTTCCCAATGGGACTCTTCCCACCAATAAAAACAGTATTATTTACACTTACATTAGCATCCTTCAAATCCTCTGCATACACAAAAATGAAGCTGCAACACAACAAACTAACCACATAACACCACCACCACCACCCCATCCCCATGTGAAATACCAAAGAACCCATCTCAAATACTTGCAGTAATACTCAAGATCTCTATTTTAATACATGCCCAGAATCATTTAAGATACAAATTTACATATTTGGATTAAAGAATGGTAAGAAGACAAAGATAAAAGGACGTTTAATGAGTTACAAACGGCTTATTTGAGATAATAATATTAGTTACAACATCACTATTTATTAAAAACAAGCATTGACAAAGACGCGGGGAAATGGAATCAAGATTTGATGAGTTGGATTTTGGAATGCAATCCTGAATAATAAATAATAATGTCAAGTTTGTTTCTTGGAGGTGGCTCATTCTAGATGTGCTCTGCCAAAGCAAATTTGTAAAAGATAGCAGAATAGTGTACTGTTGGATTTCGACTGTGGGATCTACCAGTTATGGCGAATGCGTGTACGGTGTATCTTAAAAAACAAAAATGCTTTCTTTATGTTACGCTATTTGGTCGGTTATAAAGTTAGAGATGGCAATGTGTTAGGAGTTCGGACAACTAGATGATCTAGTTACCCGTATCGTAAAAGTTCGATCTGAGCTCAGTCTTACTAGAACCAAATAAGGCTAGCACGTGACCTAAAATGGGTCGAATTGAGAACGAGATGTAGGCCTTTTGGCCACATGGACATGTCTACCGACAATTCAAAATAAGCTTGTAGGCAAGACATTGCACACCAATTCCACCAAATTGTCATATTCATAGATCAATTATTTTTGGAAAATATTTATAAACAGTGTAAATTATAAATAGATAGAATTAGCCATCGTCCAATAGTATTCGTATTCAATTATAAAAAATGTCCCATAAGATGATAACTCGTTTTGAATTTGTATGACTGGTATCATTTCATATAATACGTATTTTTATTGATAATTAGAGGTTAAAAGATAACCTATTTAATCTCACTGACAGTGAAATAAAAGTTGGAAGAATTAGCAAGTTTTAACTTTAGTGAAGTCGTTTATAGTCTCTTACAAAAATAATTTACTTTATCTCAATATTTTTTTATTTTTTAAAGTTCGAAAAGGACTAAAAATTTAACTTTACCATCCTCCTCGTAAGATAAAAATCTGTTTGGACATTGAAGTTATAGGTATACCTAATTTTGGTCATTTAAATTAACACTAAACTTTCAATTTCTTATCGCCCTAGTCACTACTCTCCTGTTAGCAGTGGCAAAGCCATAGAGGGCTGGGTGGCAAACTGGCAATCCCCCCCCCCCCCCCCCCCCCCCCCCCCTCCTGTTAGCAGGGGCAAAGCCATAGGGGGCTGGGGGGCAAACTGGCAATTCCCACCCCCCCCCCCCCCCCGCCGCCCCCACCCCCACAACACACACAATATTTGAAATTTTCTTTAAATTTATGTAGAAATTTGAATATAAACAAAATATACGTATATTTTGTCCCTTCAACATTTTTCCGCAATATTTGTGAAAATTCTGGTTCAGAAAAGCAACATGCACAAGAAAACTTACGAATCGATCTCTATATTTCGTCTACAAGAACAATGATCCTGCAGTGCATAAAAAATAAAACTAAAACCGCGTAAAACGGCCATTCCATCTGATTCTGCTATAGAGAAGGATTTCTGATCCTCTGCATGAAGTTGAGAAATAGGTTTCATTCATTTCATCACTTCCAAAAACAAAAAAACAAATATATATCTATTAAGGTATCATAACATTAAATGGCTACATGGGTGAGGTACATTCGTAGTACAGAAAGTTGTATTGATTAGTGGTTGCAATAAGACCTACCGAAGCTCCATCGACCTTCGCAAGCTGAAAAAGTTCCCACTGCAAAACATAAAACATCAGTAGTTAGATCTTTAAATATACAATATAATAAAAGCACGGCAGGATAATCATGAACCAAGGAAAGGTGCAAACCACTTACATCGACGACAGGAATTGCCCTTTAAGCCAAACTTTTAGATAATTCTTTTTTTAATTTCACGTGAATGAACCTTGACTTTGTTCTAGGAGGAACAGGAACAGTGATGTTAACCTCTTGCAATGATTGACCTCAAGAATAGTTATCCATGTCCAAATTATTTCCTTTGTTAAGAGCCGGAGTTGCTAGTAAGTTGAGTTGAATTAGAAAAACATGTAGTGTCCTAAAATTGGAGAAAAGGCCATCGTCACTGCAATCTGAAATTACTTCCAAGTAAAACGGCCACCATCCTATATTAAGCTCAAATCTCACATGAAAAGCATAGTGTTGATAAAATTAAGAATCCACATTCATTGCACAAAAAGGAACTATTTAAATCTGTCAAATGAAAAAAAGCAGTTCAAGAATAGGGTGGCCAACTACACCTCCCTCCACCTATTACATCTTCTAGAAAGAAACAAGAAGAATAGTAATAGCAACATCATTTCCTCTTCTTAGCTGGTGGTTGATCCTCGTCCTCATCATCCTCGTCTTCTTCCTCATCATCCTCCCCATCCTCGTCATCATCTCCATCATCATCATCTTCGTCCTCATCATTACTGCCTTCATTGCCATTAGCCTCAGGATCCGCTTCATCATCGTTGTTGTCATCATCTCCTCCTTCTTCACCAGATGAGTCCTCATTTCCAGCGCCGTCATCATCATCCTGATTATCAACATCATTGTCATTGTCATCTTCATCATCATCCTCTGTATCACTTCCATCTTTGTTCTCTAGCCCAGGATTTTCCACTCTATGAAATTCTTCCATGGGAAACCTGCGCACGTCGTCAATCTCACCTATTTCACAATTTCCTCATGCATGTTGTAGCGTAGAGAGACTATAAATACCTTTTTTCAGCCAAGTTTGGCAGCCCATCAACATCGCGCAGCAGAGATCCCATCTGTGAACATGGTGCAGATTGTTAAGGAAACTTAAATGAAGCCTATGCATCATAATCAATCCTACAATTAAGCCATTTACTGGACTCAAATCTAATGTGATAAATGAATCGATGTAAAGCATGAAATCAATATTGCATTACGTGCAAAGAAATTTTTCCACAGCACATATGATTAAATAAGCAATGATGCCACAAACAGTATGAACCAAGAATCACACAACAGTTGGAAACTTCGTATAGCAAATAAAGGTTCAGTGTATGACAAATTCACGTGAAGCAGATCTCAATGAGTCATCAGCTGATAATATAAAGCATGACCGAAGTTCAAATTCACAAAACGACAACATCAGAATAAACCAATTTACATGCTGCGGGTGGCAGGCACGTCTTGACATGTAATTCCTCAATAAAAGGTCAAAACCTGCAATGCAGTACCAACATAAACCCACTGCAAGTATATACTGTCTTGTATCATGAAAACTTGTCTCTTACCAGGGGAAGAGACAGAATGCCACTGAATTAAACGAATTACACAGGACGAGGAGTAGATCATTAGCAATAGGTCAAAAGACAGATTCCAAAGGACCAAAATCAACATAACTAATTTCCATGGTACAATGCACACGTAAACGAACAAACCACTGAATTATCAATACAAAATTCCATACCATCATCATAAAAATCTTTTAATTTCAAATGCATTTGGAAGCATTTAGTCCTAATGCTCACACTTCTGTTTTCACCATTGCTAGCTAATAATCATTTTATAAAGTCCCAAACCTGAATTATTATACCAGTTATCGTACTTTGTAAAGGTGAAGCAACATAAATATGGCCAGTTCACGTTGAACAGGTAGTAGTGATAGCTCCCATAAAACTTAGTGAAACTGTAAACAGCATCCGTATGCTTCTGTGATTATGGAATCAAATACATCAGCATTAACAATATAAATTTATTTTTCCACGAATTCATTTATTTCCTATTTTCAATTAAAAGTGCCAAGGTCCAAAAATATTTGTATTAACCAAAAAAATCAATGAAAACCGTTTGAAAGTTAAGCAACTTAACAAACAAAGGAAAAAAATTAATTACTGTAAAAACTAGACAATCACTTTAGAGTTCCATTTTTTGGATTTAGGGTTTAGGGGAGTCTCAATAAACTCTAATATGTAGTTAATTCAGGGAAGTCTCAACACAACGACATCTCTACACATTCAATAACACTAAAATCCATACAGAAAAGAAAGAAAATTCCAAGATTCAAGTACCATTCAGTGATAAACTTAAATTTCACTTATTGTTAAATGAAGAATGATGGAACAGGAAAAGGGGCAAGAAAAACCCTAATTGCAAAACCCTTAGCTCATATAAAACCCGGTTGCTCAAAATTAGAAATTAAAATCAACAACCCACAATTTAAGAAACAAANAAAAAAAAAAAAAAAAAACTCTTCATTGGATCGACGCTAATGGGTTTTGTACCTCATCTTCCCAAACCTTAAATTTTTAAAAAAAAAAAAAAAAAAAAAAGGAAAAAAAAAAAATTTAACTAGGGTTTTGGTTTTTAATTGCAAAGAAGGTCTTTAATTTTTATTTATTTTGTATTTTATGTCATTAACTTTTTGTTATTACATTATTATCCTTATACTTTAACTAATTAACTCATCCGGTCTATAATGACGGTGTGTTGAAATATTTTGTTAGCTTGCTTTAAAACGATGGTCAAATATTTTTATCGAATTTTTATATTTATTATTTATTTCATTTATCGAAATTTCATTCTTGGCATCTTGATATATTATTGTTGATATTTTGAATAAAAATCAAAAGGGAGATAATGAAAGATTAGAAATTTGTTGGTAGATTTTGTTGGATATATTGTGAATGAAATATTTTATTTTAAACATTAATGAACTCACGAATACCTTAGAAAAAAATTGGATAGAATTTTAACTTACCAAAATTAAGAAACGTGAAAAGAGAAGTGAAGAAAATGAGACTTTGATAGAAGCAATAATTGTACTCACTTTTCTCAAGACGAGTTTGCTCTGCATAATTGCCCGTGGTTGAATGAAAATTGCCCCCATGTACGATGATCACATACTAGCATTTCAAATCTCGAAAAATGGCAAACCAAATAGTGTTTGAACTCTCTTTTACGAAACTAGACTTTTAATAAATGCAAAAAAAAATTATGGGGTATTACGATGTATGCAAAAAGTGCAACACTTAATATATGTCCGTGATTGAAAAATAAAGTGACCAATCGTGCAACTATATGAGCCCAAATATAATAAATGAAAAGTTGTGTTTGAAGATATACTCCAAGTGCGGATAGATACGACTATTCAAAAAGGATATGTTCAAAAAAACGCGACGTTTATGCCAAATAAATTCCAGAATACTACACCGTATTATAATTTCAATTTTCAGTCATTCTCATGTTCATGTTCAACATCAATTTCTCACTAATTCGAAATGGAGTACTCGATTTCGAGTACTAAGATAATTTACTTGCAAAGTAAAATACGTTTAGACATATAAACTTTGACTATTGATACCTACCCAAATAATTATTCAACGTTGCTCAAAACTAACGTTTTCTATCCATTTTCGACCTGATATCGATTCCCTGTGCTTAACGGTGCTGAAGTGGGTGGACCGGTTCGATCTAACTCTCCCATAGCCGAGATGACACGGCTCGTAAAGCTGCCCAACTCTCACACTCTCAGCTGGTAGTCCAGGTTGGGCCTAGGCCCATTACCATTTATAGTGGTATGGACTGGCCCACCGGTCCATCTGAAAAGGCTGATTGATGACGTGTCGAGTTTTAATTGGTAGGATGACGTATAAAATCCATCATACTTTTCACACTCGATTATCTCCTTCCACAACGAGAAGCAAAAGTTTGCAAGCTGAGTTTTGAGACTTGACAACAAATTCTTAATACTCTGTTCCGATAATCGAAAATTTTCATGTTATATATAATTAAGAAGATGAGATTAACGTGGTTGTTTGCCCTAACTTTAATCATAAATCTCTTCTACCACGTTGTTTCCTCCGAGCAGATCATCCCTGTTCATACAGGTACATTATAATTTCTTCTCGAAAATCATTTCTCATTGAAAACGAATTAAGGGACAAGGATTTGAATTTCAATTGACTTTCGATTTTCTTAGCCTAAAACAGTAATTATATTCATTTTGGAGTGAGTTTCTGTTTTCAGATGATTATTTTCGTTGATTGTATTATTTTATTTTATTTTTGTTGAAGCAAAAAAGGAGATATCTTCAATGGAGGATGCAGCTATTAATCAAACATAGGAATAGGATGATACTAGTTGATTCTATAAATTGTAGGATAAACACTGTCTTATTTTTTTCTTCATTTTACTGGTTTACATGTGTTTAAAACTAAAATTACGTGTAGATATTGAGGAGTTTGAATCTCAAGCATGATGTCTGAGATGACAAAACCAACATTATCGGGATTGATCATACATATTTACCGTAAACTAAAGTATTTAGCTTTCTGGTTACAACACGAATAGTTTGATATTTTCGTTATTCGAATCATCTTAATGGAATACTTGGGGATTCTATGTGTCTGTTTGTAATGTTCTATTTAGGTCATCCATTTTTCATTTGGTTTTTGCTTTAAACCTGGTCTTCTGATGATAAGATATTTTGCCTTTTAAGTTACTGAAGGACTGTCCTTTAGGTTTTTCCTTTCATGCTGTCATTTTGACTTTACAGGTGGGACCTTCGGCCGGGGCTCTCGTGAACCAAAATTCAATATCGAATTCCATTCGGAAGACTCTCCCTTCCTTTCTGTAAGTCATAATTGAGTAATTTTCTTATTCTTGCATTGACCATATTTTATCAGTAGGAATAGATACATTATAAACATAGACGATGCTTCCAAGTTAAATGCAGGATTGCAATGAGTTTTGATCTATGTAACCTACATCAGTCTGCATTCTACTTTTCTAGATGCCACCTCATCCAATAACACCAGATGTGCAAGGCATAGTTTATACTGCTAATAAAGCTGCAGTTTTTTTCAGTCGATCTCCCAAAGTTCTCAAAATCATTAAGCCCCTATTTGGGCTCCATTTTTTCAAAAATACATTTTTTTCAAACTCATTTTCTACCAAATCTAATTTTAATGGAGCCCGAACGGGGGTTAAATATCTGTAACATGATAGGTTTCTCTAGGTACTTCCTATGATCACCAAAGAACTCCTTAATTCTTTCTTAAGACTCCTATTTCCAACTTGTATAAGATTAAAATGCTCTTTCAGAAATATGGGTTTCCTTTCCTGTTTTTCGCCCAGTTCTTTGTCCAGACATGTTTACTCGCTGAATGCTGCTTTCCTAATCATAATGACCTACAATGTAAAAATGACTCCCCTTAAGAAGGCCAAAAGATTTCAATTTTTAATGGCTTTATTTACCAAGCTCAGGACTAGAAGAGCGTTTTAGGAATTTAAGGTATCGCTTGCAATGTAATAAGGACGAAGTCTCATTTATATCGTAATATCCCTAGCTTCGGCATGCAGGTTTTGAACTTGCTCCTATCACCTTTATCAACTCTGTAGCTCTCTTGCTCAGTGCAATTGTCCTATTCTTACCATGGGGATATATTTATTTTTTGTTGGATATCTATACTTTCGGATATAAAAGCAGATGGTATTGTTTGTGAAGAAAGAGATTCTTGACATTAGTAGACTAATTTATTCACTGGTAAGGCATTGATATGCTGTTGCAATGAGAGCAAAACTAGTACATTTTGGCCTTATTTGATGCTTTCTTGTGAACAGAATAATAGATCTAAGTAATTACTAAGTTGTGACTAGTATAGAAGCCACGTGAACTATAACGACCCAAATTTTATATATTCAAGTCACCACCAAAAAATTTCTCTATAATTTAATTAAGTTGAATTTGTGTATGAAATAGTTTACACAAAATTGATTAGTAATTTCCCATATTCTTTAAATAATTTATTTATCACCTAACTGGTATACAACTCAAACTCAGTACTAATTTGCTTCATTGAACAGTAAGTGCATGAAGATTAACGAGCACTCAATATTTAAAAGGAGGAAACATAATCATTGTTCCGTCAAAATCATAGAAGAAATGGAAGGATTAAACCAAATTTAATTAACTGGAAATTACTCATGGCTACTAAACTTGACACAACCCTCGAATTTTTATTTATTTATTTTGAGACGTAAATGCTTGTATACATGATGCTTTTAACATTTAACTGTCAACCGTGAAAGACAAGTAATATTTACCACAATTGGTAATAAATAAGCAAACTTAATAATTAACACGGTCACCATCAAATCAACGTATGAAAATGCATAGCCAATTAAAATCATGTTCGAAATTCATAAAAGAATTATTCGTACGATAAAAATAGTAAAAAATTGTCTTGTTAAACCGGATTAATTTATTAAGTCCCATAAATCCTGGCACCACAACTACACATCATCCCTCGCCAACCAGTGACCCATTCTAACATGTGAGGAGTAGGGAAAAAAGGCTGAGTACATGAGAATACTCAATATGATACGAATTATGGTGCAATCCCGAATAAAAATATTTAAATCATGCATAAAAAATATCTTATCGTTATCATATCTTTAGAGACCGATAAGATCTCAATACATATCATATCTTTGGTATAGACGTCCATATCATACATATCATATCTTTAACTTTCATAAGTATAATAATTCGACAACACAGAAAAATAATTTAAATGAGGTAAAGTCATCTACACCTTGTTATCCTACGTTGTTAGATCAATATCATATCTTTAACTTTCATAAGTATAATAATTCGACAACACAGAAAAATAATTTAAATGAGGTAAAGTCATCTACACCTTGTTATCCTACATTGTTAGATCAAATTAACTTTTGAAATACAAGACTAAAATCATGTTCCAACCTAATTCTTTTTGCCTACCCGTTGTGAAAATATATTTGTATATATGTTGGGTAATTATGAGAATTGTAAGGTGTTTAAAGTGGGTAAAAGACCTCTAATATAATATGTATAGGAAGTCGTGCTCCCAAAGAAATTGATTAGACTTTTGAGGAATAAAATCTTGAGTGGAGTGTATGTTGCAACCAAATTCTGTTGAAAAATATGCTACATCTTCTTCAACAAATATCTTATCTCAATAGTGAAGGGCACGTGGTTTTTCATACATTCATAAGTCAAATAAAAAGAATTTAAATAATATTAAATGATGACAAATCTCAACAATATGATAAGAGCTCCAACACGTGGTTGTCCATAAGTTTTTTAAAACCTAAAATTTTATTTATGCTATTAATTTAAAATTCATTAATTAACTAACCTAAATTACAATTTAAGTCAATATCCGTCGACCTAAAAAACTTGGGCTTCGCCTATCCAAATTAACTTTTTTCTCGAGCCTAATATGCATGATTAATTACGGGCTATCCAATGAGCTAAAAATTGATATATAAAACCTGCTCTATCAAAATCTATTAATTAACCCAAAATATAAGAATTTTAAACCTATTTTTCGTTTTAGTCCTTCAACTTTAAAAAATATAACTTATAGCATCAAGAAAATAAATTTTACTCTATAAAATTATCAGGGCTTTACATGAACGAAGCCTTCTTTTCAATTTAGAGTCGCATCATAGTTGTACATTGTTCATCCATAAGTAGTTTGGTGATATGGTGACTTGATGCATCTACTCATGTAGCAGCATCTCGTGCCTGCGGAGAACTTATCTTTGTCTTCTAATTTATAGGATTACTTGGAAAAAGTAAAAGAACTTCTTTCTATCGCCATTTCCTTTTGTGTTTACTGTAGTGGTTAATGAATTTTGACCATGCAACTTTTAGAAGAAAAAGCTACACACTTTTTATAGCATCCATGATATAGGATAGCTTTGAGGTACTTTATTTGTTTCTGTATTTGGGATCACTGATATTAGAGTAAATAGCGGATAATAAGTGTACAAGATTCAGTTTGTGCACATGCATTTTTTTGTTATACCAGGTGTATGTTTTTTTCTGGAGGATAGGAAATTATTCTTTGATTCTCCTTTCTTCTATTCCGTCGTCTTAATTTTTCGCTCACTAAACATGCTACAATCAGTACAATTCTTCCGTATCCTTTCTCTCCAAATTTTGCTACCATTTACACATAGTTGATTATTGACTTTGTAGGACGATAACCAGGAATCTCTGGTTATGCCCAATAAAAATGGAGAAAAGTTCCTTTGCTTTTTGCCTAAAGTGGAGAAATCAAAGGGTGGGAAGCTAGTTAGTCTACAGAACACAAGCAGTATGATAATGGAGACAGAGAGAACTATGAAAATAAAGACACCAGACGAGTTGCTTGAAGTGCTTAAAGATCGGTGTTTTATTAGGGTAAGGATCCATCCCAATTCCCCTCCCACTCCACACCCTTTCACATGTGCCAAGTTATCCTATATAGCTATTTCAAACTTCAAAAGTTGGTTATTGTGGATACTTGACCATATTGGGGCTCTTTTATTATAAATGCAGCAAGAAGGATGGTGGTCATATGAGTTCTGTCATCAGAAGTGGTTGCGACAAATTCATTTGGAGGAGAATAAGGTAACTCGTTTCTTGACTATTAAGATTTATTTCGCTTTAAGAAAGTTCTTTCGGTTTTGGATATTTCATAATATTATTCCTTCCTGTCTATTATCAATATTGAAATTCCCAGTAATTTGTGAAAAATATCCAATTCTTGTTGGTCTACTTGAGAATATTTTTGAAGTATCTTGTATGTCAAAGTTTGTGGTCTGAACTTGACCGTTATACAGCTTTTAATTAAATTAAGAAACTGATCAGATGATTATATTAGAATAGAAACTTCACTTGTTTATGCTTTTTTCGTCTTGGTATTTCTATGCCAGTATAGATGATACATGGGCTGTAACATCTTGTAGATGGTTCAAGAATTCTTTTTGGGTGTTTATGATGAAAATGCTACGATGGCTTTCAATCAGAACCTTCCTGACATCTCTATATTGAAAGATCCTCGCTCAATTGATGCATCTCAAAGGTATGGATTTTAGACATGCAATTTTTTTTCTAGATCCACCTGTAGTTGTGGCCTCGGCAGATTCCTGTGGATTAGATTAGAAAAGAGACTACAGTAGGGGGGACCATAGCACCTTAACTCCAGAGTTACCTAGGGAAAAAGAGGAGCAATACTAGCAAAATATAGAATGGATCGCCTCCATTACAAGAACCTAGAAAAGACACTAATGCCATGAACATGAAGGTGTAAGAAAAACATGATATCCCCAATATCAAAAGAGTAATTACTTTAATGCAATAGATAAAGTAGCTGAAGTTTATGAATCTAATCTCACGAGACACAGAAATTGAGCATGTTTGGGGTGGTTATCTTAAAGATAAGCTCTGAATGTGTGGCTTATAATGGCTTATTTTGAATGTAGGCGTGTCCAGGTTAAAAATAAGCTACAGGTTTGTTGCTTATCTTTAATTAAAGCTACCCCAAACATGCTAATGCCTTTTAGGTCTTGTGCCTTCTAAATCGTGAGACCACTTCTTATCCCTTTATTTGCTAAATAATCCAACTTTCTATGGATATAGAAACTTTAACTGAGACTGAGATTGAGTACCATTAATATCTTCAATTAAATACTGCAATAACCAAGGTCCATTGGTTTTGGATTTAATCGCCCTAAGTGCCATAATTGCGTCTACCTCAACCCAAATATTTTGGAAACCTTAACGATAACCTTTTTTTAGACCCGTATGCAGTGCATTAACTTTCGCCCAGAGCAGCAAGGATATAGCTTGTAAAAGCAAATATCAAAGTACCTTTCTGCTAGCACTCTACCACTCAAGCTTGTCCGGGATTATCTTCACTAGACCCTAGTGGTTACTCCTGGAAGGAAATCGTAAAATTCCATAAAAGATCCTAGTGCTAGAAGGAAAGCTCAAAACTACCATAATAAATATCCATATATAGGAGGAAAATCTAAAAAACTACCACAAAAAAACTCAATTATAAAAAATACCTAAACCATCCCTTATTTCCATTATGGAGCTGCATCAATTTCTTTCGAGTTAAATGAACCTAATTTCTGTGGCACAGACACTTCAATTAGGGTAGCGTGTCCGTGTCCGACACGTGTTGAACACTTCTCGATATCGACACTTCTCGGACACTCTACCGTAATCATTTTTCTTTTTATATTATAAATATTATATTTTGTTAATTTAAAGTTATTAGNTACGGCCTTGTATGGGAGGGATTAAAATCGGATTAAAATTGAAAATATAGCCGTTATTGTTGACTTTTATTAGACGGGTGGGACCCAATAACGGTCATATTTTCAATTTTAATTGGATTTTAATCACTCCCGAACGGGGCCTATATAAATGAAGAATTTTTAAGAATTTAATCAACGTGTCGATAACGTGTCATGTCTGTACTTTTTTTAAAAATCGCATGTCAGCGTATCCGACACGTATCTTGTCGGACACACGTGTCCGTGTCGGTGCATCATAGAACCTAATAATGAGTATTACTGGTTTATATACTGATATAGGATTGTTATATTTGCTAAATTGACTCTATAATTATGATACATGATCATTGTGTAGGTACCATGCTCATCTGTTCAACAATGGTACTCTCTGTGATTTAACAAATCAGCCTCGGGAAACAGAGGTAGAAAATATTGAAATTTGTACTCACCTCTCCTATCTTAGTATTATTCATGATTCTAGTCCTTTAGTTTTCAATTCCAGGTCAGATTTGTTTGTTCAGAGCCCAAAGCTGTGATAAGTTCTATCACTGAGTTGTCAACATGCAAATATGCACTCACATTCCATTGCCCAGCGCTTTGCAGGCACCCGTAAGTCTGATTCTCTCTCTCTCTCTCTCTCTCTCTGTGGGTGGATGTGGAGGTGGGGGCAGAGTTTACACACACGTAACACTTGCACTTGCAAAAATGCACTATTTTTTTGGACTTCGTAGGTTCATTTAGATGCACACCTTAATAATGTGCTTTGGATAAGACAAACTTTATATTATCTTCTGAACCAGTTTATTGTATCTCTCTGTGGGTGGGGGTGGGAGTTCTACGGGGGCAGAGTTTACACTCACATAACACTTGCACTAGCAAAAATGCACTATTTTTTTGGGCTCAAAGGTTCATTTAGATGCACACCTTAATAGAGTCCTTTGGTTAAGATAAACTTTATATTATCTTTTGAACCAGTTTATTGTATCTGAATGGTCAATATTATACACTACATTTGTTGATTCAAATTCAGTCTGAGGGCGGGTTTGAGGTTGCTTTGTGATAACTGGATGCACTAGCAATAAATTGATATAAACTCTTAGAATTACTGCACTTGGAAAATTGTAAACAATTCAACATTCACAACTTTTATTTTGTTGCTGGTTTAAGAAATTATAATTTCAAAAGAAATGTTCATATGGTACTCGATAAAAAGTTATCTGCATAACATATTATACAAACATAATATTACTCCACTATAGAATCTGAACAAAACGATCCCCAAGATACCTCAACAATTATAGTTCTTTATGCTATAATATTTGCTTTACAGTAAATTATAATTAAGATTCAAACAACTTGTAAATTGTTTCCCTTACCATACAATTCAAAGGGAAAAATTAAGCAAAATAAAATAACGAAATTAAAGAGTAATAATATAAAAAATATAGTAAAATTCTCCACGAAACCAAATTTATTCATACAAAAAATAAATAATAATAGAAGTTACACCCCCATATAATATTATTAAGTCTAAACACGCTAAAATAGACATTTATTGTATATCTATTACTGTATAATCTTTTGGCCTTATGAAGCTCACATTTGTTTTTCTTAAAAATTGTGGCCTGAAATACAGCACAAAATGAAGAGACAATTATAATTCTGACAATATGCAAAAAGGGTTAACACCAATGTAGGGAGCCCTTGAGGGCTAGAAATATGCAGGATACTATGAAAATTGATACGAAAATGCACCAAAATACACCTCTTTAGGCAACAACTCTCTCATTTTTGTAATCCGCCTATTCTTCACGACAACAATTGTATGTGTTCGTTTGTTTAGGGATATATTCAATCATCTACTGCAGAAAATTATAGTCTTCTTTTATTGTTCATGGCTCTCTTCAATTGAAAATATAGAGTATATAACTGTTTATTTCAATAGAAATATATTGGATAAATCATGGTATTGAAGGAAAAGGTGTCCATAATATGAAATTTTAAAATGAGGGAACAAACTTCAATTGTGATTTAAGGTTGAGTCGCAAATTTATTACATATTTATTTGTTGTTCACTATACTGATAGTGGGTTCTGGGTGTTTTCACTTTGCAATTGACATGATTGTGGGGTCCTTGTTTGTTGCCTATATTCTTTCATCAGTTGCTTTGAGTATTTCAGTTGTTCACAGGTTATTCCAAGAAGAAAGACCCGTGTCACATACAATTCACTGCAATGTATTTCCAAAGGATTTCGAGGAACCAAAGGAGGAAGATGATTTTCAAGTTGGAAAAATAAGTGTGGTCACTGGGGTCAAGAATCTACCTCCATTCGATTCAGAAGCTCATGTAGTATAAATAGAAGACCGTTTCATGCGGGAGAACTTCTCTCCATATTAAGATGGCTACAAAGATTTTTTGGCTTTCACAGTTTAGGAACCAGTCTGGGAATTGAGCATCATTCCGTCCCAATGTGGTAAAAACTAAGTTGTGTTTAGATCAAGATATCAGGGCTCATGAGATTAGATGAGTTGAATCAAAGTTTTCAATGTAAAGAAGTTATTTTTGGTATTTCTCCGCATACAACATAAAGAATCACATTTATGAGGCAATATAATAAATACTTTCTTTTATAGTTTATATTACCCGGTTCATCATGTGTGGTGTGCGTATAGTGATAAGATGTTGAAGGATCGAGCAATATCGAAGGAGCACTTAGGGTACATTTCAATTTCATGGAAATCGCATAGGGTGCATTTGATAATAGTATTGTTTCAACGTGGATGGTATTTTAGTAAAACATGTTAAGATAGATAGTAATAAAGGGATGAAGGGATATGCATATAATATTTTGATGCTACTAGGAAGTCTGGTAAAGAATAACCGTAAATTGAAGAGTTATTCCAATTATAAATAAGTCATTACAAGAAACACTTATATCAGAAAATTTGACGTGAGCGCATCAACATGCAAGTTAGAGGACCTAAGGACTTCTAAAGAATTGATGAGAGGCCTTTTTGTGCTTTATTTGTGGAATAATGTTACATGTATCTAATGAAATTACATAACTTACACACGAGACGTCAAAAAAGAGTGGAGATTTTTTTTTTTTTTATTTTTTGATTGAAAAAATTCTAACGCGATGATATCTCATCATATAAGAGACCCTTCTGTGCTTTATTTGTGGAACAATACCACTCGTACATAATGATTTATTTACAAATGAGATGTCAAGAGAGTGGAGAATTTTATTTTTTTTAGTGAAAAAATTTTAACACAATCATATCTCATCATATCATATACATGTAAACCATTATATAAATTATTATGTACATACAACACAACTTTTGTTTGTGAGATAAGAAACTACGGATATATATTATCCTTTTCTTGAAAATATACACATTTTACAACCTTTTTATCGAAATTCAATGGATAACAATTTTGCCCTTTGCAGTTAAAAATAAACTAATAAAGCGCTCCTAGTAGTCAAATACCAAATGTGCCTAAATCCCCACGACAACACACAAAAAATAGAGAGACGATGTGCATTTGACCCAAAACACAAATCATATCACATTTCACAGCACAAGCGAATCTTAAACGCATAAATGAAGTAAGATGGCGAAATTGAGGGCAGACGGTTCTTTAATCAAATTACTAATGTGCATCTCATGCATGATCAATACAATACCGTGAACTCGTACCAACCAGTCACCTACTGGTCATTTTTCAAGCTCGGAGTGAAAAACACGTTCCAACTATATCAGTTTCCAAACCAGGAGTTATCGTCATTTCCAAGTGAAACCGGGGTTTATAAACTCAGATTTGTACAATTATCCTCCAGAATCAGAATATCGTCCGTCAAGATAAACTTGTGGAATCAGTCAGCTTGGTCTAAAAAATTGGACAAGATATACCACAACACAAAATTTATCACCAGTTCGGAAATTATATAATCCTATATATCTTTGTGTACCTGCATTTCTTCACCAATTCTCTTTTCTCCCAGCTTCTCTCGTCTGTTGGCTTGCTTTATAGTAAAGCGTTTTCTGCACATAGAATATCATGTATCCTTGGGCAGCCCTCACAGTGTTGTCATTAACTTGAGTGATCCATGCATCATCACACTTGTACCAGTGGTTGTTTAATCTCAAATATGTCACGTAATGGCCAGCGTCGAGTTTACCAGCATGAGTTATGACAGCAAACAACTCAAACTCTGAAGAGAAATCAATAGAAGCATCTTCCTCATCCCCGTCAAAAGAGAAGACTCTGTTTCCATACCGACTTCTTAAGATGGATGAAGAGAGGTATGGTGCCATGTCCAAGGAAAAAGGGAACTGTAGATAGCGGTCAATCTTTCTTGACATTTTACGGATCGGGGAGTGCTCAAATCTTTTTATATGAAAACAATAAACGAGAGGAAGCTTTCTTATGGACATCTGTTTAAGCGATTCCTGCCTCAGTTGACACTGTTGACAGAAGAACTTATGCTCACACCCTAATCTCTCGGGTCTAGTGAAACGATCCAGGCACCCCATCAAGGTTGACACACTTGAGTTTTGGTTGGGATCTGCATCATCATGGGATGCACGATGTGATTTTGTAAATGCTGTTTTTGTAGAACCACCATGATGCGGTTCCAAGTCCAATGAGATATCTACACATGGATCATATGTTGTAGATGTAAAACCACAGGATGTACACATGACATCAGATCGCAATGTACCAGAGAATACACGGTGAGCAATACAACAATCTCCACTACCTGAACAAGAAAAAAAACCAGTGGTTACCTTGTATCCCTGACCACAACCAACGGCTACTAATAATTAATTAATTCTTAGAACATTCTTCCTATCTTATGGCTATAATCCCATACACATGATTAATGCATCAATACTACTGAGAGTTTCTTCTATATTTATTAAATAAATTGCTACAAGAATTTATAACCCGTTTGGCACCCATTATTTCAAATTATAATGAGAGGAACAGTAATTTTTTGGAGAATGCGTAATTAAAAAATAAGAAAAAGATTATGGATTTACGTGTAATATTATTTTATTGGAGAATGTGTGGTTGATAAGAAGAGAAAAAAATGAATTATAATTTAATGGGGAATAATGGGAGCCAAACGGGGGCTCAGTAAGAAAGCAATTAGGAGAAGCTAAGAAGAAAAGCAATAAATGAAATTTGTATGCATGCATCAATCAGACTTTCCTCACTTAAAGTTCAGTAATCATGCTTCAGATACATCTATACGGATGCCGATTTTCCTATTGTAACACTTCCAAGTCTTCAAGAATAAGATAGCTCATGACAGTTGAGACAGCAATTATTGCATAAATTATTGATTCACACACTATAATAATGCTACATAACAACGCATCAACCTGCCCCATGGCTTAGCAACATGTTATTATATGATTGATAGATTTGTTGGGGAGAACACGATTCTCTAAATTGAACTAATGGCATACTGTGAGAGATTCAGCAGCACATTTTCCAAGGGACGAATGGAACGTTTCAGCTCAAGATAATTGTTCAATTGCATGAAACAAAGTTGTACATACTTTCTTCGAGGAATGGAGAGAGAGAGAGAGAGAGAGAGAGAAGAACAGCTCCAGATAGAAAAAAAGCCAATAACTTGCTGCCGATAACACTAACGTAGTTTGAAACAAAAGGATTTTAACTGGACAGAAACTAGCAAGATCTCAAACTTTCTTCAAAGGTGAGATAAGTTGTCCTGAGGTAACAACCCTAACAATGGTACATCTGGAGTCAACAAGCGAAATTAGTTTTGACACAAGAAGAACCCTATGTTGAAGCCAAGAGACCAAAGATAATGAGACTTACTGAAGTGAAGCAGAAGGCAAGCTTGTGGTCTGAAATAATGGCTATATATCTGAGCATCTCTCAATTCCTAAGGCAACAAGAAGACCTAAACCCGCATCCTGCATTTGAAAATTCCATTATCTATTTCAGAATTTAGGAACACCTATATAAGATGTGATACAGGATTAGAGAAGAAAAGGATACAGGACGGTTCTTAAGAATGTTCATGTTACGATATTGCTAATTGTTCAAGAAGTTTGTATCTTCTCGTGAGTCGTGACCAATCTAAAACAGGCGATGAGGCAAAATATCTCTCAGCATAATTACTTAAAAGTCATCAGAGAACAAAAATGTCTGTCAAAAAAAAGAAAAAGAAAAGCAAATGCATTGCCAAGAGAAAGTTGGAGGTCTCAAATCTTGACCAAATCTCTCTTCCTCTTCTTTTCATCTTGCAATTAATATTTTATTTATTGAATATAAAATCTAGCCTAATATGAATATTCAAGATCATACAGGATCAGAAGAATTTTCTGGTAACCTTTTTATCATCACTTAGCAATTGCAGAAGACTTGACACGAGGAACATAACATACTTCAATTTTTCTCCAATGATAAATATGGAATAAAGAAACCTTTAGCTGAATGCTACAATAGAGCTCACTAACAGATTATTCAAAAAACTTCATCTAGCCCTTGTTTGAGCCCCATGGGAAAAAAATGTATTTTGGAATAGTGTTTTTTGGAGAATGTGTGGTTAAAAAATAATGTAAAAGTTTTCGATTTACGTGTAAAATTATTTTATTGGAAAATGTGTGGTTGAAAATGAGTTTTGATAAAATTGGGCTTAAACAAGGGCCTAGTATCTTTATGACAAATACTTGAAATTCAAATGTCAGACACCATTAAATTATTTTTGCATGGGCAGAAAATGTGTCCTACCTGAAGGATTTTCAAAGAGTTAAAGCTAATTTTTTTCCCAACAGACATCACACAGAAATATTTCCTAGGCAGAGGTTCTAAGACCCATACCACATGTCTAATAAAATGTTGAACAGAACTGACACTTTTTCCAGCACTCAATTAGTTGTTTCTGCATCTTCTGATTCATGATCGTTTCAAGATCTAACGTGAGGACACTTAACAGTATATTTGGTAGCAAAGTTACCTTGCCTATGGGGCTTGCGCTTATCCTTCTGCATCTTTTCATGAATGCCATCAAGCATAGAAATGAAAAATTCATGTGCGTCCTGCTGTTCATAACTTGCAAGGTTCGAAGCATGCTGCCACCAACTGTAATGAAAAATAGTAGCACAATGAACATCACCCAAGATTCACAGAGATATAGAGCAGCATACAAGTTATGTCATACTTGCATATCCATCATTTGAGTCCCAAGATTCACAGAGATATAGAGCAGCATACAAGTTATATCATACTTGTATATCCATCATTTGAGTGAGTGTTACAAAGATTTTCATCTTTGGACCCACCCTTAGCAAAACTTTACCTAACCACTT